AACCATTCTGTAATTCTATGAAATCCCTAAAGTAAGTGCTATAAATTGGGACAGTTGTCAAAGTATTTTAATTTTAAAGGGCCACTAATGTTTGCAGTGTCTCTTTTCATGTTTAACTTTGCATGTCCAAAGTCTTACCAGGCAACAGCTGGTACTGACATTCTTCTGCAAACTAAGTAGGCTCTTGAGTTCTACAGAAATATCCTGCCCAGTCTCAAAAAGTATACGTTCAACACAGAAGCATTTATGTTAAGAGCATAATTCAAATCATTATGAAAGCTTGTAAAAATATAATGAACACAGTTTCTTATGTTTCCCATCTTATGTAAGCAGAGAGAATACTCGATGACCTGCTAAATAAGAAAAGCAATCAAATACAGTCAACTTCTGACATTCTCCATCTATGATGTGATTTTTTTTTTTTTTTTTTTAAACAAAGCATTAAATAGTACCTGATCTTTCATTCTTGCTTTTCTTGGTAGTGTGACTGCAATTTCTGTATCTGTTGTTATACTACCTATTCTCTGTTCTATTCCACAACTGTTTTCCTTTAATGCTGCTTCCACCTTTCCTGTAGAAGGAGCTGGGGAGGAGCGGGCTGAATCTGCAGGACGAGGTGAAATGCTTTCCATTCTCCTAGTGCTGCCACTATCATCCTCCTCATCATCATCACTAGACAAAACAACTAAACAGAAAATATTAAATTCTCAACCACTACATTTTTCTGTAACAGAAATTTGTTTTCAACCAATAGTTTAAAAGTAATTTATATAATTGTCCTGCAGGGCCAAAAAAAGTCCACATTTATCATTATATTATGCTTTTACTAATGTTTACTTGGAATCTGCTTGCAGGTGCTCTCTCCCTCATTTTTGATTTTTCATAACTAACTATACAAGAAATAGGTATCATTAATCCGCCTCTAGACACAGAACTGAAGCCATACATTTCTTGGTGCAATCAAGTGAATAATACAACTTCAGAAAAACTGACAAGAGAAATTATGATTTAAATTGTTCAAATCAGCAAGACAACATGGTCTAGTAAACTAAGCATGGAACTAGAAACATAATTTCCCACATTCCAGTTCCTTCCTGTTTCTAAATTCATTTGAGTTTATGGAGAGAAAGCACAAAAATTAACATTTCACAAATTATGAAATTTAAATAAATGGGAAAATTCAGACAGCGTTCAGATGCATAGCTCAAAAAGAAAGAGACAAAATCTCTAAATTAAAAATCAAAGACTGTCTTTCCCTTTCATAGACTGAATGATGGAATTAAGGTAAGAATGCATTTTTAAAAATTATAAAGTGTCAGTCTTTTTAAAAACAAAAACTCTAAGATTCATTAAAACAATTTTTGTTTTCCCCAGTGTTCATCCTTCTCAGAGAGTACCTCAATGTATGAAAAGGAAATCATAAGAAGGTCTGTCCCTCTTCCCCAAGAACACACCCACAAAAAAACTCCTTGCAAAATCAGTAATGTAAACCTGCAAGGAGAATTCCTTCAATATACAATGCTTTGGTTTTCCAGTTTATGCTTATATTCATAAAATGAGACTTACTTGGATCATTTAGTTCAGACGGTCTTGTACTCCTCTGTCTTAAGTTTCCTGTAATTTTAGGATTTTTTGTCCCAGTGATAAGACCAACTTTTCCATTCTGTCGTAACATTGAATGTCCTACAACTTCATTACTCAGTAGAATATCCGTTGGACCTTTCCCAACAGCAGAACTATAAAACTTCTTTGTGTTGAACCCTGTACCTGAAGATTTTTGCCCTGTTGAATTCTGATGTATTGAAGAACGTGCTAAAGGTCCCACAGATTCGTTTAATGTCAAAGTTTGTCTGGAGACTCTTTGCAAATCCTTCAGAGAAGCACTTTCACAATGTCGGCATTTGGTCTGATTTTCATTTGCCCGCCCACAATTTGGGCAATCAGTAGAATAATCAATTTGTTCCAAAAGCTAGAAGGGACACACACAAAATCAGTAACTGTGTAAGTACAAAGATCCCATTTCCAAATCTTGCATTTCATTTCTGTTCTGTTCAGAATGAAGACTGACACCAACATATTAGCAACTACAGTGAGGAGAAAAAGCAAACATTAGAATAGAGTTGAAGAAAATGAAAAATGTTCTAATAGGAACAAATGTCATTTGTAGCAATTTTTAAAAAGTGATTAATGTTGGACAATTCAGATTTTCCTTCTTGCCTTTTTTCTTCCCATACATAAAAGGTTGCACACCATTCAGATATCCACCAGCAAGAGGGTCCAGTTATATCATTTCTATAAATATGGTTTCATTGGATGAAAATAAAGTCACCTAAGGATCCATAGAGCAATGCTAAAGACAACTAGAAGCAACATCCTAGGTCACCAAGTTCATTTGTCCTCTCAGTTTAACAAAGCTACACATACCATAGCGAAACGGACGCAAAAAAACCCCAGTGTATAAAACCTGTCAAGACCTTCCAAACCTGACTGGTGGGGTAAGATAACAAGTGACATGAAAACCAATGTTGTGCCTCAGTCCTGAGTTAGCAGATGTAATTTTTACGAAGATGCTGCTAATTGCACTGAAGAATTTCAATCAGACATTAAAACATCCAACAGAAGCTACCAATCATGCCTGTAGGATCTTCAGTATAGAATAACTGCACACCTTCGCCTTAACCATGCACCTTGATGGTAGGGTGGCAGTGTTTAGGGGAGACATATTCTTCTACAGACTCTATTTAAAGATAAATGACTGCTTAAGTAATGAGATCTACCTAAATGGATCTGCCTTACAACTCTGATAATGCAGCTTTTTAAACTTTGAAATATGCAAAATACAAATACCCTATGCCCTATCTCTGAAAGTTCCAGAATCCAAAGATTTTGTTACTTTTCAGCTTTTTTCTTTTTTTTTGGTAAGCACATATGAAGCAGAAAATCCTCCTTCCTTTAAAAATTATGTACAGTTTTAACAATTGGAAAGTGCAACCCATTACAGTTTAGTTAAGATGAAAACCATTTGCACCTTGCCTGACAAACAGCTGGTTACATCTGTAATTCCTCAGGCACAAACCCATAACCAACACTTTTGCACTGTTCAGAGGTTCCATAAACCCCCATCTGGCAACTCATGAAAATGCGTATGGTTCATAACAAGTGCACAAATCATTGGGTTAAATCCCTTCATTGTAATAAAGGATAAGATTCTTAACCCATTTAAAAAAGAAAATAAAATCAAGAGTTGTGCTAGTGAATTCTGTTGCAGCAAACTCTGTTCTGTATCCAGAAAGTGTATCCACAAACTACACAGCCTTACAGGATCGTAACTGTTCTACGGGTTAGAGCAAAGGTTCATCTAGCCCTGTGCTCTACTTTCAACAATGGCCAGTGGTAGATAGTTGGAAGCACAGGGAATAGAGTAAGGACTTAACCTCCTTACTTGATGTAGCAATAACCAATTTAGACATTTCCTGATTCAGTGGTTGAATTTAAATCAACCTGTTTATGATTTGTGATTCAGCATCACAAATTTTATCAATCCCTTTTTGAAATCTCATAATGTACTGTGTGAAAAAATATGGGGGTTTCACCTTTTTTTACAGTTACTGCTTGACAGTTTTGCCACAGGCAGTCAGCTCTTGTGTCTGAAAAGCAGTAATTGGTTTCCATTCATGACTGCTGGTGTTCTCAAATTTACAGATTTCCAAGATACGCATGGACAAAAGTACCAGATGTAACTATTAAATGCTGTTTACAGGTGCAATCTGTCTGATGGCTGTGGAAATGAAATCATGTCCCTGGAACAATGTCATCAAGCTTGCTGCTTTTTTACTCAGGAGACAGAGAAAACAGCTTGTTTTAGCAATATGGACAGCTACATGCAATCTGGCTCAGGGACACCAAGCTGCTGGCGGTTCTATATGCAGCTCCAGCCCTCCATTTCCACACGTATACAATGCTGGAAGTAGTTCTGGAAGTTAGTACCATGGTTTCATAACTGGGAGGAATATGCTGAAAGCACACCTCACTTCTACAGCCTTGTAGTTAGGGCTAAGGAGTTACTGCAAATGGCCTACACAGATCCCAGTCCAGCCACAAAGGATGAGGCTGATCTCCTTCCTCTCCTGCTAATTCACGTAATTTGTAAGGCAGAAACTCTGTGTATTAGATGACATTTGCTAGATCTTCAGACAAAATTGTTTCATCAAGGCAGTGAAAAGATTCCATTTATTTTTAAATTGCCTTCTTCAATAACCATTTCAATCTAGAAGACTCTTTTCTGCTTCTATCTCTTAACCAAAAGAACAGAAGCAATAAATATTTTACTTCTTTAAACAAATATAAACAAAGTTATCAATTTCATGATAACCCCAAGAACTGTAATGTCTTTTGGGCTTTAACTGTTTTGTTACTTTATTACTTAGCTTTCATAGATCATATCTATATAGATATCATATCTAGATCAAAACCTCAACTACTAAAATTTCCAAGTAACATCATACTGATTAACTAAATATGTAATGGAAACACGTAAGAATAGTACCAACTATTTCATCATAAGAAATAAATACAGTTGCCTTATTTTCTAATACACAGGAGCAAACACAAGTTGATTGTATATATAATAACCACAGATCTACTTTTGGTTTTAACCCAGGATCTCCTTACAGGAATTTTTGCTTAAATACTCATATAGTGTGACCTGTATGTGGGCATAATGAATCTTCCATAGTAATGTGGGAAGATGAGAAGAAATACAGGGAGCCTTACAGAAATTTCCAACATAGCTTAAATCTGATATTCAGGAAAGTTCCAGTCAAAACATCCTGGTTGGCTGCATCTAGACCAGAAAACACCATTTGGATACTTGTGCTGTTTTCACCGAGAAAGAGAGCAACTCAGTAAGAAGTACTTGCATCTTTGCAGCATCTCTGTCTTTATTGTTATAATGAGCACAGAAAATCAGGATGCTTTAAAAAAGATAAAATCTGTCCAAGAATAAAATACTGTTCCTTTATTTCATAGACAAGAACCCAAAATTATGAGTTTCTGGTTTATTGATCAGCCAATCCATTTAAAAACAGGTTTTCTTTTTGCTTTCCAGTGCAACGCCTGTTTGTTCGAATCGGAAAACAAGTGTGTCATAGCTAGTACAAGTATTACCACTTAAATATCTCTATCATGATAACTTTTTTAAAAATTTATGTAATTTTTTCTTCCTACTCTAAGGATTTTTAGAACATCAACTTATTTCATAACTGAATGCCTATTTTTAAAATATGCATCAACTTTTCAAGTTAAACAGAAGTTTACAAGCTTTTAAAATCTAACCCACCTTTAACTGGGTTAAGCATTTTTTGGTAGCAGAAGATAGAGTCAAGTCAGATTGATAGGAATTGCAGTGACGTTTCTGTTGCACCTTTCTCTTAATTTCAGATTCTGATTCTGCCTCTTCCTTGTTTTCCATTATACTGTCTAGGAGGGAAAAAATGCAAAAACGTTAACAGGAAATGTCCACTCATATGCTGTTAAAATTATGATCAACTTCTTTCTTCACATACACTAACCTCAAGTAAACACAAACACCTTTTAAACACCCAAATGACACCGTTTCAACTGTCTCATGATTTGTTGTGTGACTAAGAAAAAAGTCCGCAAAGTACCTTTGAAAATGTTGTTTTATTAATACTATTTCAGTATTAATAATGTGTAGCTTAATATCTTTGCAGGAAGCTTTGGGCTAGAAAATATATACTGAATTCACTACACCTACAGTGGAGCATCTCCTACCGGAAGTGTCAGGAAATCTGCTAGATTACGCTGATGGTAATTTTCACTAAAGGACTGCTGCTGAATGCATTTAGAATAACTGGAAATGTTCTGTGTAATTAGAATTTATTCCTTCAAGACAAGAGTCAGCAGTACAATGAACTATACTGCTTTCTATTGGGGCATTCACTCAAATACTGGAACAGCACAGGAACAAGGAAATCCATAATCTACTTAAACCAACAGAGTTCAGCACTCTTAAGAAGTACAGTAGATGTACACTTTTAAGTGCAGTATGTTGAACAAGAATGCCTTGATTCAGTTTAACATTAAAGTGCTACTAATGCTCCACAGTTTAACTGCAGTGTCCATACTGAAACTTTTCAAGCCTGCACTGTTAGTGATTCTCCCCCTCTACTCTGCTCTTGGGAGACCCCACCTGGAGTGCTGCGTCCAGCTGTGGAGCCCTCAATATCAGAAGGATACAGACCAGTTGGAGCGAGTCCAGAGGAGGCCACGAAGATGCTCAGAGGGCTGGAGCACCTCTGCTATGGGGACAGGCTGAGAGAGTTGGGCTGGTTCAGCCTGGAAAAGAGAAGGCTCCAGGGAGACCTTATTGCCCCTTCCAGTACCTGAAGGGGCTACAAGGAAGCTGGGGGGCACTTTTTACAAGGGCCTGTAGTGACAGGGAAAGGGGTAACGGGTTTAAATTCACAGTGGAGAGGTTTAGATTGGATATCAGGAAGAAGTTCTTCCCAGAGAGGGTGGTGGGGCACGGGAACAGGTTGCCCAGAGAAGCTGTGGATGCCCCATCCCTGGAAGTGTTCAAGGCCAGGCTGGATGAGGCTTTGAGCAACCTGGTCTAGTGCAAGGTGTCCCTGCCCATGGCAGGGGTGTTGGAACTAGATGATCTTTAAGGTCCCTTCCAACCCAAATAATTCTGTGATTCTAACAGATTTGAACAATTTTTTAGTACACATACTGATAGAGTCACTAACATCCTATTATCAGAAGACATCTCAAAACTAATGAATGACTTGTTTCAGAAAAGAAACTCAGTAAGTGGTTTGGTGTTTTGTGGGTTTTTTGGGGTTTGTTTTTGTTCATGGTTTTTTTTTTAATGTTAACTTGTGCATGGAAATGATGAAGTTCTACTTAACATTAAGCTAAAAAGGCAAGGGAGAATTGCTGGCCAGTGCAGATGGCTAAGAAAGTGAATAGCAAGTTATCATGGTGCTAAAACCAGCACACAGGTTTACAGACCATACCTGTACATGTACTGACAAAGCTCAACCATAGTGATTTTTCTTTTCCAGTTCCCTAATTTCCACACCTCAAAGCAAATTATTTTTTCTCTCTTGTGTTCTCCATCAATGGCCCCTAGCCACTAATAGAAGAGCATATTTCAGTTACAGGGCAGTTCTGATACCAGCTCTTCTACCCCCTCAATGCCTGAGTATACTTCGTTCCAAGTGCTATTTACCATGTTACATTTTGCACATGCTAACAGGGCTACAGAAGTCCCTCATCAATAATTCAAGAACAAGCTGGGGGCTTGGGCTCAGACTAGGTGGTCTCTGGAGATCTGTTCCAACTCCAAAAGTTCTGTGATCCTAAATGTTCCCAATTTCAGTTGTTTTTAAAATAACTCAAGTTTAATTTAAAATTAATTATAACATGACTGAACAGGTGGCAGAAATCTGTCAAAAAGGGCAAAATTCTCCCTTCATGCACAAAGTTGCTTAAATCTAGAATAACGTGATACAAGGATATAAATAGATATATGAAAGGATAGACACAAAGTCTGGCAATACACCCACCCAAAGCAGGTATCCCAAAAAAAAAAAAAAATATCAGTCTGCTTAAAAGAAATGAGAACTCCAAACGTAACTTACCCACTCCTTGAGTCCGTGGTAACCTAATGTGGTCTGCTTCTACTTTCTGAAGCTGAGGGGGGTATTCTTTTCTGGAAAACAGATTTGATACATTGTTGTACTTTTGGCAGACACCATTATAATTTAGCCACAATTATACATGAACAAAAAAACCCTGAAATGTGTCTGAAAGCTACAAATAAATAATTATATTACATGCTATTTGTACACCTAAAAGTATTACCACAATGCTAGGAAAAGCTACAGTAAAGATCCTAGAAGTGTTTCTGACCTAAATCTCCTTTCAGACTCAAATCTTCTAAGACTGAAGCCTGCACCTCCTCCTCCTCATTCATGAAGTGCAAGATAGATAGTTTTTAAATCCAAAAATAGAAGCAACTCTTATTTTAATATTAAAGCAGATCCCACAAGTTCCACAACTTAAAAAACAGGAAGACAAGATGCAAAACAGAGGAGAGAGATCTGATGTCAAAAAATTGTTGTGGTCAAAAAATAAAAAGAACACGACCAGAAAAGACATAGTTACTATATATTTGTTTTTAAAAATATAATAATATAGACAAATTAGTGGGTAAGAAAAATTTTGTCTGTGTAATTTGCATGCTATTACCATACCTGTTACAACAGAAGATGGCACGCACCTGAAACACAGGAGCCTGGCCAACAACTTCAGCAGAAACTGTTTTTTATTGGTAAGTTAAGCCAGTGCACTGGGCTGCAAATTGGTCACACACATCCCATACTGCTACCTTGGATTATAAGACAAGGGGGCAAAGAAGACACCTGTAGGCAGGAACATCTGAAACCAACTGCTACATTTTGAGGACCCACCTGAAAAAAACTGGCTATGGCCGAAGCAGACTTCAGCACTAGGCCTAAGTAGTTTGTTTTTTAAAGTTCTTATTTTGTATTTTATTTACCCCATCCCTGGATGTGTTCAAGGTCAGGCTGGACGAGGCTTTGAGCAACCTGGTCTAGTGGAAGGTGTCCCTGCCCATGGCAGGGGGGTTGGAACTAGATGGTCTTTAAGGTCCCTTCCAACCCAAACCATTCTGTGATTCTGTGATTTCTTTCAGCAGAGCATTTCCTAATGCATCGAAATACAAAACCTTTGTATTTTTTGCATTACTAAGTGATATTCGTTAGGGCTTTCCCATATTTTACCTTTAACTAACATCTTTGGAACAACATTAATCTACAGTGCTCTTTGGGATACTTCATACCGAATCTGTCCCTCTAAATATATTAGCCCACTACTAAACACAAACAACTTTGTTGTGTTGAGGGGCTGCAGAACAAAGGAAAACTCATGCAGAAAGAAGGATTGAGAAAGAGCGTGGCTGGATTGTAACACAAAGCGTAGAGATGTCAAGAGTACTTTACCATGAGTGCCCACAGGCACATCACAGATGACGGATTAAGTACTTTATTTTTTACTGATTGTCCCAAACGTGTTTCTGAAACAATCCTGCTCCACCAGAAGTTTTTTTTTTTTAATGCCCGCACACACAGAAAGTGAACCAAAATCAGAAACTCAACATGAATCTTTGATCACAAATTAAGCAAATGATTTTCTTTTTTTAAACATTTCCTTTAAAACCACAAATCACAAGGGATTACTTTGAAGGCAGAATTAGTGGAAATCTAAGGCAGAGCTCAAACTCATTATATAATGAGACTCTGTTACTAACAAAACCAATGATAATGACATTCTAAAGGGTAGAGAAAATCCTGTAACATCATTATAGGAGATTTGACAAATATAAACTTTGCAGCAAGGATGTGTGAGCTGTTGTCTAACACATTATAATTATTTTCCAGTAGCATTTCGTAACAATACGCCTTGTTTTCAGCATGACCACTGTTAGAAACATTATTTTCTGTCAAATGTTTCATATTCATAAGATTTAATTGATGTTTGAAGAGAAACAATATTGAAACTATTTGGCATTTAATTGAAAGCAATCACAACAATAGGGTAGGTTTAGAACACTAAAATTTCTTTTAAAAATCAGTTTGACAATTCAAGGTCTCTGGACATTTGCAAGGTAGGATTTTTCTTCTAAAAATCTCACAGGTTTGTGTTACAGTTTTAACATGCAACACATATCACTAAATAATTTTTGACAATAATTCAGAATACAGTAGCACTATCGACCCTTGTCTGAATTTTGTGTTATCAGCACAGACTCATATTGATACTTAGTAAATGGCCAAACACTTGCAAGTTGCTATGAGTCAGCAACAAAAGCAAAGACCATTTCAAACACTACTTAATTCTAGATTGCCTCAGGGGAATTAAAAAAAAAAAAAAAAAAAAAGCTTTCCTGGAGATGGTAACAGCCCTCCCATAAAAGGGCAGAAACTTGAAGCAGCTCCTACTAGTTTCCTTTCCTAAAAATCCACACACAAACAAAAAGTCAGAATCCACTACCACAGAATTTTTTACAGCTGACAAAACAAAGGCCCTCCCCTCAGCACAATGTTTGTTGCCACTTGAACAGCTGTAGACCCATCGATACCTTCTCCAGTGTAGTACTCGGAACACTAAGCAGTTTAATGGAATGGAAACTATAGCCTTTTTTTTAAATCAAACACGGTACCTCTCTTTAAAGGGACTGTTTGGAACATAATGGTCCCTTCCAACCCAAACCATTCTATGATTCTATGATAAAGCACTTCAAAACAAATGCCTGCTGGCTGTTAAATCCTAACAAACTAATAGTCTGCCATTTCAAAAGGAATAAATGAAGGATCAATCAGCTAAATAGATCAAGATGCAAGGCCATCTACATACTGTGTCGAACTGAAAAAAAACAAGAAATACAACATTGAATGCTGTTCCCCCCATCCTAGCAAATATTTAAAATATACATTTTTCTTCTTGCCTCTTAGGCTTCCCAAAAATATTTCTTATGAGATTGAGATTTTGCTTGAAGAACAAGGCTTCATGCTCAGAAATTAAATTATTTCAGGCATCGCATTTATGTCATCCATCCTAAGCAGTTTTGATTTTAATACAAGCACAGGGAAGGTAGTCCAGAAGCAACCTCAAAAGGTAGTAAAGGACCAAACCAGCAAAACATTAATTATAAGACCAAGAAAGATCAGGCTCTTCCTGCAACACACATGACAAAAATACTGAGGTAAGTCTGGACTGCAGAGACTCCTAAACTTTCGACACGTCTTGACACGTCTTAACAGCTACACAGTGTAGCATTCTTGACTACACATGTTTTGCTCGGACAGAATGCTGTCACTGATTTAGTATTTTCAGCACAAAAATCAAGATTACTGCTTTATTCCTTTGCTGACGGAATCAGACCTTACCACCTTCACCTTGCGCTGGTAGACAGACCTGTCACACCCTCCAGCCAAAGTTAAATTTCCATATTAAAATTTCTTCTCTAGCAGGAAAGGGTGGGGGGAAAGGTGAGGGGCAGGGGCAGGATGGTGACAATACCTGACTCTGCCAGGAAGGAAAAAACGTAAAGAAACAACTGGATCTCGGAATTTAGAATACAGTGCTGTCTCAGATCAGAGCTACCCACGACCCGGTAGGAGTCACACTAAAAACACTGTGTATGTGCAAGGCTACACCCACTCCTAATGTTGTTGAGGCGTAGGCTCACACGAGTTCTGGGCTTCACAGGCAGCCTGGCTCTTCCAGCGGCTGCCTCGTTCAGCCTTTCCTCGCTCTGCCTCTCTATACTGCTACCTGGAGGTGTACCACCGCAGGCAGGCCATTGGTTTCTACGCCCTTACGCAAAAAACAGAGTAAAGCATGGTAAGATAGGAAGCACCAAGCTGCTGCGGTGAGATTTACCTTCTGCGTGTCTTATGGTAAAGCACAATACAAAACTCAAAGGCTGAAAGAGAGGAAGAGCAGCACAGGGAGATGGGTTTTAAGTACACAGTTCTGTAGCCCCATCTGGCCTAGAACGCCAGGAGCTGCAGCTGCCCTTACCATGATGGTAACAATTAAAACTAAATTTAGCAGCTCCTGCCTAAACCATCTTCCCCTGCTAGGACAGCAACAAAAAGCAGGGAAGGAAAAGAGAACATACCCAGTAGTACGGCATTAGGAAGCAGCAGGTGTCCCCAAGGGAAAATTAAGGTCACCAGCAGGCAACCCAACCCTAGCCTTCCTATGACACACAGTACCAAATTAAAAACATTAATTAGCTGGTTAACTAAGAACATAAATGCAGCACAAAGAAAACCAGGAAAAAATACATGAACTCAACGCCCAGGCAGCGAAAGGATAATCAAATCCCTTCTTAGAGGGCCAAAGCTTAGTGGTGACTGTCCCTGGCATTTCTGGTATTTCTTTCAAGAAATAGCAAAAAGCAATAAAACAGAAAGGCTTGATTTTACTCCTGAGATTAAATAAGGCTAGAAAATCCTGACTTCACAAAGAACAGGTCTAGACTAGATTTCTGTTATTTATATCATTCGTGGTCAAACATTATATGCACCGTTCAAATACTTCAACCTGGTATCAACCATATACTGCCAAAAAACACCTACACAGACAACAAAAACTCAAAAAATCCATTACTATCAACAAAACGTTTACACTACCATATAAATTTAAGCTATATAGAAAGTAAACCAAATATATGGTGTTTCGTGTTGCTAACAAAGTATTAACAGCAGTAAACAGAGACAAAACGGGTAAGAGCTTTACAGTGTGCCTGACTTTGCTATGCACTTTCTGTTGATTGCTGTAACGTATACACTTAATGAACAGATGTACACAGTAATGCAATAACCTTCAATGCTCTTCAGACCAAGCTGAGGTGACAGTGAAAGCTGCTTAACACCCAACAAAGACATGCTTCAGAACCATACTATCACACAGTTTGTTGCTCTATGAAAAAAATTAGCAGTGAATTCTTAAATTTCAGAGAAAGTTAAAGTTTATATATCCAATGTGAAAATAAGATAAACAGATAGATAAATTTCCAGTGGAAACGTACCCGTTCACATTAACATGGCATTATTAATAGATGAACATAAATGTCCATTTTTGGTAAAAGGGAGTAAGTGAACCACAAAACCAGAACGAAAACAACCAACCCCCCTGACACATGAGCAGATACGATTGACAGGATTGAATATTATTTAATTTGCACTGACAAAGCACTCATTCAGGTAATTTTCTTAATGCTCATTGCCATGCTCATTTCATCAACAGTAAGCTTACCTTTCCTTTCGGTCCAGATTGCTTAAAATATGAAAAAAGAAAAAAAACATAAGATGCAAAGCCCCACATGTTGCATATCATTAAATCCAAAAGTTATTAAACTATAATTGTTTCATTTTCTCTTGCACTCACTGGACTAGTTTGCATATGAGCATCATTATTTTTCACAGCACTTTTGTAACAGTGATTAGAAACACAAACAAATATTACTTCACAGACAGCAATGGTCAGTGCTCTGAATACAGCACTGTCTGCCCTTTTTTCCAATGTGTAAAATTTGATTCCAGACGCAGCCTGGTCATTTCAACTTAATTCACTGCAATGTAGAACCTGACATGACAGAATCCTAATATAGAAATTAAGATCAAGCCTCATTTCCAACCTCTGATCACCATGCAAAAGATAAAGTAAATTTACATAACAGCTCTTTTCCAACCAATGAAATTTAAAAAAAGCTTAAATTGAGAACAAAAATTAGAAAACACTACTTAAATATTTAGGAGATCAGATGCAACCAGCTACTGGATAGAGCAGAATAAACAGAAGCAGCCAGCCTCCTCCTGAGGTTTTAGCTAAGAAGAATCTCAAAAAATATTTAAGAATTAGGGCCACTAGTTTCAGAAGTGCCTCCTTTAACGTCAACAACTATAACTGGTGCTCACAACTTGGGTCCTTTGTATGCAAAGGCTGATATAAAATAGATCTAACGAAGGACAGCACAAGTACAACCTGCAAATAGTATCTTTCTCTCTCATGCCTTTTCAAAACTTGCAATATGGAGTGATGCAAGCTTTTAATCTATGTAGCTGTTCCTCCTGAATATCAGAAGTCTAACAAACTTCTGTCGTATATGCAGTACATTAACACTATTCTAAACCAGAACAAATTCAAACTGTTTCCTGTTTTTCTTCAGCCAAATTAAACAGTTACAATATTAGAAAGTCATATAAACTCATTCTCCTTTCCTTTTCGCAAACAGAACACTCAATAGAGCAACCTAACTCTGTTACCCAGAGGAATGGCAGGGTTGAAAGGAAACCAGGTTAGAAGGTAATCCTGATAATCCTCGAGAGTGCAGTATGGAAACACATTCCATCTCCACAGTGCTCTGGGTTCTGGGAAGGGACTAAAAGGAATTGAAAACTGAATGTGACCACTGCAACTTATACTGAGCTGGGGGTAGTCACTCAAGCTGCACGAAAGTCGGAAAAAATTGCTTCCAACTGTAGCTAGCCTTTATAAACAATAAACACTGGGTTTGTGCAGGTCACATCTAAGTTTATAAATCCAGTAAGATCCAAACCATGATGTATGTGTAGCCATATCCAGTATCTTTGTATCCTTGGCACAGTTAATACATACATTGGATTAACTGTTTACAGGTGTTATAGAGAGTCACACTCTTAAGAACTGTAAATTTTAATGCTAAAGAAACTTAAGGGCAGGAAAAAAAACCTCCAGCATGCCCAATACGGTACACAGTCATTACATTAGATGCCTCGCTTGTTTTAAAATCCCATACTCATATAATGCATTTAAAAGAATTCTCATTTTTACATCTCAAAGATTAAGAAATGAGACTCCTGGACAGACCCAAGAATTAAAACAAGCAGTGTCCTGAAGAATAGCTTCATGCAGCTCATGCATAAAATATGTCAGACATGCTGTACATACATGCTATTCCAACGCCAACTCTTAGAGACCAGTCAGGCAACAGCATAAGACAGAACGATGTGTCCATTAAATGAAGCAAAATAGTTTGAACCAACTACAAGACAGGGATAAGCTGTAACTGAAAATCTGTTGTTTCTGAAATGAACAAATTTTATTTCATCCCCAGATTGCACTAGAAAAAACATCAGAATTTATCAAAATATTGTTTTGAAACTCCCAATTTTGTTGTACTGAAAACTTATACTTTAAATTAGTGCAACAGACATTCAGCCAGAATTTAAATTAACATGCATGTGCAAAAAAGTTGGACAGAGATATGAGAAATACAGTACAAATCACAAGCTCCAAATTCAACTTGATAGAGATTGCAGTTTCATAATTAGCTTGCCACACGTGACACCATCCCCACTCAAAGTACCCAGTATAAATAACAGAATCTGTAACGTCAGTGCCAGAGTCTCAATCTGCTCAGAACTAATTTAATCATGCTTTCATTTTAGGTTATCCTTTCCATAATCCAGTACAGACTTAAGAACAATATGCTAGGTTAGTTAAAAACATCTTGTTACTGGTTACCATACTATTAAACAATCCTACAACTGCAAACAATATAAAAGAACACAACTTTGTGTTGGTTGCAATTAGTACAGGAAAAATACCTCAACACCTTAGAACTTAATTTCCATGCTACCAGCTTTTCTTTATCTTGATATATATCTAGAATTTCATCCTTGGTTGCCTTCTCACATTTACTGCATATACTCATTTCAGAGGAGACGCCCATCAGAAGTTACTTCTAAACCCATCTGTCATCTAATTTCAGTAAAAACTAGCCAAAAAAAGGTATTAAACCAATTCCCAATCACATAAAAATACATGACCAAAAAACCTATCCACTTTAAACACACTGGAATTTTGTATTATGAACAGTTTTAAATAGTCCTTTTTTATTCCTGACAACTACTGTCTTCTCATTCATAAACCTCCGTTTTCCATATCAAAGAGCAAAATCCCCCATCTTTTTTATTAATTAAAAAAAATTAGTATGACGGGGACCATGTTCTATTAATTTTCAATTTTCTAACTCAAACAGATTTAGAAGATTTAAAAAGCAGGCAGTTGAATCAACTGGCAAAGGATACTGGAATTAAATATGCTTTGCACAGTTCCTGTGTAAAGTTCACCCTCACTCAATTAGATCACACTGGTTCTCATCTCCTCCAGTAGCAAAACATTGCTTGGAATTGTTATGACTATTTCCTGCCTTTGAAATAACTAAAATATTCTTAGCAGAAGAGTTAATTGTCTGTTGTTAATGTAAATGAACTACAGGAACAACCCTAAAAGAAATCGTATTTAGAGACATTCAAGATGACTACTATCCAATTACTTCATGCAATATTCAGCATAGGACGTGGCTACCTTTGGGTTTTTTTTCCACATTACATTGTAGCCTTACAAAGAAGCCAGTCCCTTAGGTGAGAAAGGCAAGGAGGCAAGTCTAACAACCCTTCAAGACTAAGAATGTCTGGGGAGAACCCTCCTGCACACTCAAGAGGCCTACAGCACTCAACTGGATAAGAAGAATCCATGTTGACTGGCTGTTTTGAAGAATCATCTTCCAACAGAGCTTAATCAAGTACACTAATATTATTAACTTCAACATTCAGAGATGCAAGAAAGAGCAGTCTTAAGTGATTTTGCTTACTTCAAATAATTTCAGTTAGCACCACAGATCAAGAATTTAACCCTCAGAATTACAAAAAAAAAAAGTGAAAGGTAAGGAGATGAATGATTAGAGATGCCCCAAGATTTCCTCAACGGAACATGAAGCAAAAATTTTCTAAGGACTGCAGGTAAGAAAAGAGCACAGGTGGTACAACCTAAACCACACTGATGACATAAACCTCATCTTTCATTTTAATTTGTGGGAAAAGTTCTACCAATCCTTACTCATCCCTGCCTTATAATGATGGGAAGAAACGAGAAGGAAGATGTCTACTATCACATCCACTATTGCCAAGGGGAAGGCAATGTCCATCCTACTTTCCATTCACAGGTGATAGTAAAGCTTGAAATGGAAGGAGGCAACAATGGTGTAGGGTCCTCAGGGACGGGACAGCAAAACCCATCTGTCAGTGTGTTTCTTCAATGCAAGACTGCCCTAACACACGTCTGGATCACATCGTTCATTCACATTAGTAAATGGGTTTTGTTTTATGAAGATAGCAAATGAAAATGAGGGAGTGGGATGAAAAAGAGGATGATACCTACAAGTGATCCCACCACCTCAAAAAAATCTGCACTAAAAAACAGAGAAGAAGAGGGCAGCAGGAGGTTTCAGAATGCAGACAGGATGAAGCAATCGTGGGCTGGTGGAAATCCATGAAATTTATAGATAAAAAGAGATCTGAACGGACAAATTATGACAGAAAATTTTTTAAAGCAATGGTTAGCTCATATGTTTATGACACACATTGGGTGGGAAAAGCCTGTTAAAAAGAATAAACACCAACCCCACAATTTATAGAAGTCTGATGTCGTTTTAAGTTTCCAAAACAATGAAGTAATTCAGCAGAGCCGAGTAAGATTTCCCAGTTTCCAGCTGTCAGTTCTAACAACTACTTATATAAATGCAAAAACTTGCTTCTGAGATCGATGTCCCAGTTTATGTGTTTTATTTACAGACTATGTATGATCAACAGATCTATAACAATCTTTAGACAGATCACGCACTAGCTGGAGTTTCTGTGAATTGTATTTGATGATCATGTCAGTTAGGTGAATTTCTACTGCATACCAGTTTGTCCATTTCAAAGTGTTTTCTGAATTTATTTATATTATCAGGTACTCTGCTACAGAATATATGTCATAGTGTGCTGTAAAATTAGTAAATTTTAAGATTATATAATAACAAATCCTAAATGCTAAGTTTTATGAAACTTTAGTAGTTAAGATCAAAGCTCATCACCAAGAATGCACCATGTACGTTATGTTTCCTTAAAACACTTCACCAGGTAAGGAAAACCATTACATACAAAACCAGACAGGACTTGTTACAATGGGAACATCCGGAGAAACAAATATAGTCTTACCTTTGGGCTGCCGTTTTTACTACTGCTGTCTGCGCATGCGCATGGTGAAAACGTCTACCATGTACCACAGTTACAGGACAAGACATATTCTGAGAGTTTTCACTGCAAACATACAGAAAAATAGTTTAAGAAAATATTCTGGTGTATTTGTACATTGTCTTAGCTAATAACTGCAGTGTCCTGCTTTTACAGTAGCAGCCATACAAAACCAAAAATCAAAGTATTTCTGAATCAATAACACAATTTGTCAGAATCCCTGACAGACATAAAAACGTTCAGTCCTAGAATAAAATAAGACAAATAAGAATATACACAATTAGGGTTTTTTACCTGGAAGAAAAGGCAAAGATCTTTAAAAATTTTATCACCATCCAAATCACTGTGAACCAGCTCTCCCTTACTATACCCCATCACTGCAAAATGACACTGCTTTTTTAAATGAGTTATCACCATTATAATTAATTTTATACTTTCATCTATACATTTTATTAAGGCATAGTATTAAACTTCTTTAATATGACTTCAAGGGCATAACGTGAACAACAGACTGAATTGCACATTCAGGAACTTCCCTCACCTTATTACTCGTAAGGGAAAGTAAACACAGCAAATTTAGGGATTTAAGATGGCTCTGGTAACTGAAACAACACAGCATCTCAAAAAGAAGAGAGAAGGATTCTTAAGCGCTTAAATATCTCAGCAGGACTGTGCAGAGAGATAGTATATTCACCAATATCTTTTATTGATTTGTTGCCTTTTGACACTTTAATCTCATTACTATGTAAAACAAGTAATTCAACAGAGAAGATTCCTATCCTCTCCAGAAAAAGCTGATACAAAGATGGAGTAGATCAATAATATATTACTTCTTCTTCTAAGATCATCAGACCCAGAGAACTATCCTGCGTGCTTCAGTGACAGGACACACAACAGTATACTTGAAATGTTCAAAACCACACAACTTCTAACAGACAGCATGTTGATAATGCAAACTATTTCAAACCACAGAAATACAAAGCTTAAATTTTGCTCACAGGATTGCTTGGAAATTTTAACTGCACTAAATAAAATGATGTGGAAAAGCATTCTGATTGATTAAAAACATTTCTCAGAAATACTTGTTCTGCTCCTGTTTGTCCTATAAACAGTAAAAAAACTGAAGTACCAAAATTCTCCAAAAAGCTGACAACCAATTACTAATTCTTCTTTTACATTCCCCCAGAAGATGAAAGGAAGCAAACTGTTAGCTTGCTTTTCAAATTTCTTTCCAGTTTAGCACTACAAACGCTTTTGGGAGCCTTATTTTTATATATATATATATATATCACATATTGTAAGTCAGTATGAGAAGCTTCCAGAGCATTTCTGACTGATCATGGCATAACCATGAATATAACAGAACAAGACCGACTAAAACCAACCAAATGGTATAACTCTCTTTTCTAGAATATGGATGTTAGAAATATCATCAGTGTTCTTCAACTTCCTCAGAACTAACCTAATAGCGTCCCATTCAATCATCAACCTCTCGAAAGCAAACACACTCATCCCACACGCTTCCACATCCAGACTATGCAACTCCAGCTGGTCAGTCATCATCCAGACTAATTTACAGTAAATCTTCTGCTTTATGTTGTCACCTGAGAAATAAAAAGCTGACAACTACTTGCCCTAAATATTTTAAGGTATCTCAAATCATCTCTGGCTTCCAATGCAATGTCTTGAAAGAGATACCAGAAAAGAAACCACAAGCAGAGTGCATGAATGCCTTCTCAAATGCTTTAGACTTAAGGAGTGTAAAAAAGCAAGCAAGTCTATGAACACACCTATCTCATGTTTTATCAATTTAATTGCTGAATCTGAGCTTTGTCAAGCAAGCTATCACGACTGGGAAACTCTCAGTCTTGTGCCCCCTTCTGCTTTCTGCCTCACACTCAAGTACTGAGAAACTCCAGTAGGTGCTGGAATAGAATATGGCAGCCTGCCGGGCGATCAGATTTGAGTCAAAGCAGACTGTTCTAGGTGGCACACTTAAATGGCTCATATGGTATGAGACTTGCTTCCAAGTAGGGCAGCTGTAAAATACAATCTGCTCTACAATCCTGTTCTCTGAATAGAACATAACCAGGGCAGACAGAACCACCAGAAAACTTAAATGTAAACTTCTTGCAAGTTGCAAAATAGGCACATCCAAACTGAAATCTGGGTTTGCAAGCTTCAGCACAGTTTCAAGAAAATTAACAACCAGGGGCAAATAATGGTCAAAAAGGTTCTTGAAAGAACAAATGTTCTACAAGTCCCAAAAAACTTACAATGTGTTAACAATATACGTCTTCTTGAGGTGATCTCAGAAACCACAAATCATATGAAGCCTGTGCTCTGATGAAATCAAGGTTACAGTATCACATGCTATCAACTGACCCTAGGAACTTCTGAACACCGCAGGTTCAAAAGGCACAGCACAGAACAATCTTGTGCTGGGCAAAGAGATGGATCTAGAAGTAATGGAAGGATGACATTTCAGGAACACAGGACACAGCTACAGGCTACGTTAATTCGGCTGTTCATCAAATAACGTTTTTTTACGAAACATTAAAAAAAAGATCTGAGAGAGACTTAATGATGCGAGAAAAATTGATACAAGTTTTTTATTAAAATAGCAAAGAGAACATCCATTTAAAAGTAAGCCCTCAGGATTAAAACAAACCAACAAAAAGCCACAAACCACAAACCAACAAATCATAGAATCATAGAATGGTTAGGGTTGGAAGGGACCTTACAGCCCATCAAGTTCCAACTCCCCTGCCATGGGCAGGGACACTTTCCACTAGACCAGGTTGCTCAAAGCCACATCCAGCCTGGCCTTGAACACTCCCAGGGATGGGGCATCCACAGCTTCTCTGGGCAACCTGTTCCAGTGCCTCTCCACCCTCTCCGGGAAGAATTTCTTCCTGATACCTAATCTAAACCTCCCTGTTTTCAATTTGTACCCGTTACCCCTTGTCCTATCACTACAGGTCCTTGTAAAAAGTCCTCTCCCAACACCCTTGTAGGCCCCCTTCAGATACTGGAAAGCTGCAATCTATTAATCTTAAATTAGTTTTGGATTTGCTTAACCAGATAACAAATGGTAACTTCTGGGTTGGTTGAAGTTTCTGCACATGCAAGCAGAGGTGCACAGGGAAAATTTCTTCACACTGTCCTTGCATATTCCTTCTTCCTATCACTCCTTGGACTTTAGGGAATAATGTACTGCAATAATACTAATTTGAATCAAGCCCCACTGATCTGAATAGTTTTTAATCCCTATTCTGTAAACAGGGTGTAAAAAAATAGAGACTTCAACTTCGTGGTAAAAATCACCATGAATAGCCCAAGAATCTCAAAAGTCTGATCTTCTTATACTTAATCCAGAAGCTTAACTGCATGATCAAGTTTCAGAACTTTGTTTAGTTGAAGAACCCAAACAGTGAAAGGTTATTAAGCACCTTCTGTGCTACACAACAAAGTGAACACACCACAAATCTTCACTACCGTGACCGAATCACAAACCTTCACTAGCTTGGGGATTTTGTTGTGATCAATCTGTTGTGAAAGATAAAACGCTATCACAATTCAGCTATTAAATCAAGATAATCAATTATAGCATAATAACATTTCCAAGTAGACATAGTGTCCAAAACTGAAAAGGAGTTAAACAATGTTGGTACTATGAATTTTAATCAAACATCAAGTGTTTGTGGTAGTCACAGTGGCCTACACACATCCATTATTCCCCAGTAAATTCCCTCAGTAATGACAGTTTATTAAGAAGGTTATTCTTAATAATTATATAATTATTATTCTCAGACGGAAGAAGAGAGGGCTCCAGGGAGACCTTATTGCAGCCTTCCAGTACCTGAAGGGGCTACAAGGAAGCTGGGGGGGGACTTTTTACAAGGGCCTGTAGTGACAGGACAAGGGGGAATGGGTTTAAATTGAAAGTGGGGAGGTTTAGATTAGGTATCAGGAAGAAGTTCTTCCCGGAGAGGGTGGTGAGGCACTGGAACAGGTTGCCCAGAGAAGCTGTGGATGCCCCATCCCTGGGAGTGTTCAAGGCCAGGCTGGATGTGGCTTTGAGCAACCTGGTCTAGTGGAAGGTGGCCCTGCCCATGGCAGGGGAGTTGGAACTACATGGTCTTTAAGGTCCCTTCCAACCCAAATCATTCTAAGGTGGATATTTTCCATTTATAATCAGCCTGCAGTTCAGTACTAGTCAGAAGATGGATGCCTGTTTTCAAAGTAGATGATGTGACCTTTAAGTAATATACATGCAACAGCCTTTTTTTCATTGAATTTTATAAATCATAGCAGGTCTTAGGTTTGTAATGTACTATCTGTCAATAGAAGGCAGTTCAATCCAAGTAACAGAATGTCCGAACTAAATGTTTAGACTGTCTAAAAAAAAACCCTCAGCAATTATTTACCTTAAAAAAACAGAATAAAACCTTTCTGGAACATAAGAAAACCATACACATACACAGTCAAGTTTGACTACTTTAATAGAAAAGGGATAAAAATTAAGTAGTAAGGTTGCATTTCACTAGAAATCCCACAGCCAGACAGAAGAAAACTGTAGTTTCCAGAGGATTAAAGGAATCCTATTTTAAATGGTTATATGTACTCAAAACAAACAACAAATCATATGTACATGCAGAGGGTTCTTCACTACTAAAACAGAGCAAAGAAGTCCTGACAAATTTGTAACAGGCATTTTTATCTTTATGTTTAAGAACAGAATCCCCAAGAATGGAATTAATTAGGGTAATTCCATAAGAACTGCCCAATTTGCAGAGAAGCAATCCAGAAACGTGGATAGAATCTTATAAATCTGCTGTGTGTACTAAAAATTAAAGACCAAAACACAAAAAAATCTTTTGCATAGCATAAATCAAGGATAATGAAATACTATGCTAATTTGTGTAAATGTAAAAAAAAAAAATAAAGGGGATGGAAGGAATTATGCTCCATGTTCAGAGTTAGAAAGACCTGCCAAAGAAACTTGAATGTGTTGAAAAACAAGACCCCTGTGTAATGACACCGCTTTTGACCCGTAACACAAAAACTCTGCCTTTATTAAACCTAATTTATTTTAAAAAAACTTTTACGTTCCAAATAACATCCTATTTGTCTCTCTCAAAAAACATTATATTGTCATCAAAAAAATAAAGTACTAAAGACAGGCACTTAAGTTTATTCAAAATAACCTAGTATATAATACTTAATATCCTGTGGTTACTGTTCCAAACATACATTATATATAACAAACAATCCCTTACATACAATGTTATGTTGGTTATAGTAACAATAATTTGAATAATTTGCAGAATTTCACTCATCAAAGCTCCACTGTTCTCTGTCAAAACTAAGACACTAAAAAAAAACCAAACCACACCACAACAAACCCACAAGATAAGAATATCAATCATTCACCTAGAAAGCTAAACTATTGTTTATATGGTCCTTACTGCAGTATTCCCTAACAAGAAAATGTTCATAACTCGTCTTCTTTCATCAGAAAATTCAGGATCTGCAGGGTTTAGTTTTTGTTTGCTGTTTGGTTCTATTTATTTTTTTTATTTAAGAGCATGCATGAATTGAAGACCATCCACAAGCTACAAAAAAACTAAACTCCAGCGGTATGTATCACATTTGGTTAAGACAGTGGGAGAAAGGTCATCTAGGTTTCAAAATTCAACAAGACAGATTAATGTGTGATGACAGGTTACAGTTACAACATAAAGGCAAGAAAAGTCCTTAGTTTGACTGAAGTATGTACAGTTCTCGTACTCGCCCTTCTCTTTCAAACTGATAGACCGCCAGTACAGACTGGACATTCTGTCTTTGTTCCCCGTCCATCAGGCTCAAAGATGAGAACAGCAGAAGAGGACTGAGTGCACTGAGCAGTACGAAACACTCCAGAGAAAGTTACACGAACCTATGGCAGTTTATTATATACTAAAGAGATCAGTTTGTTACAAGCTACGGACAGTAGTAACAAGCAAGTACAGCACTGAATGTTTAAACACTCTTCCTGTCAGCTCTAAATGCAAGTGACAATCTCAAGCTACCATGTAGGAGTATGGATATTTCCTGAATCCTTTAAAGGAATAGTCCATGGCTCCAAAAATCAACCAGTTATCTTGCAGTAAAAAAACCAGGAAATGCATCCTGATTTAACCTGGGCAATTCAGTCATGGAAAGAAGAAATTCGCAATGGGGATGTTAGAAATACTATTCTACTTGCTAGCACTACACAGAGGAAACAGCAGCATATGCAGACAACATTGGTAAGGCACTGACAAGTATGCCAGGGAATGCTCTAACTCTCTTTCAGTAATCTGTGATTTTACAATCTGCTATTCAACATTTTTGAAGAGGAAAGACCTTAACAATCTAGTTCTGTCCATTTAGCATTGATTTATATCAATTATCAAGTAGGTAAGTAAACATAAAACTAAAGGTAGTACCTCAGTTTCTTGCTATTTCCCAACATGTTGAAGCCAATTGCGTTCCCTTTGAAAAGCCTCAAGCCTCCAGCTTTGCCTCTCCTTGCATATGTTTTTATGGAATCACCACTGGTGCCGACAGCTCCAGGCCGACAACGAAGTGACTGCAAAAAGAGAATTCACATATATTAAAATGCTTGTAGAAAAGTTTAAAGGAAAAAAATAAATTGCAATGTATTTATGTAAATATTAGTTTGGTTTAATTTTCAGAGTGCTTTTGTATCACAGTTCATGTAAAATACATCCCATCTGCATCTTTACTCACTAGTATTCCTTACTAAACAAAATATTAATATTTTCAAAATATTATGAATCATCTTGCAGTAGTAAGCTGTTTCAGTATACATCAGAAAAACCACAGAAAGCATGGCTTTTGCCTATGTATCATCTCCTTTTATATACACACACATATACGCATACAAAATTGGGAATCCGACAGTAAGTAATCATGAGATACGATGATTAGTATTTTTAAGAATTAAATCCCATTAATAACTGTCTAAACTTAAAACTAGTTATTCATGCTCATATTTTCAGAATACTATACAAACCAATGAGATCTATAGGAGTCAGAGGAACAAAAATATTGAGGGCAGACAGATAAAACAGCTTGAGCACATGCTGCTAAATCAACACCTAAACATACATTTTATAATACCGCACGGATGACTACACAGCACTGTTTAAGAATCTAGCAAGCTGTAAAAATACATTTTCTCCATGAGATGAACAGCGTCCTTACCTTTCTTTCCTCATTGGGACTGAAAGGCCCATCACTCTCATCTATGCTGAGCAGATTTGCCTCGCTAGTTAGGTGTGAGAGAGAAAAGTAGATACACTGTAATGCAACAGAGCACCAGCAAAACATTTCAAACACACACAGGGCTTTCCACACACACACACACCCACCCCTTCCCACGCTTTCCTCTTTATATTTAAATGTATCACATACACGTATATATATATGCCCAAAACAACAGAAACAAAGTGGGCAAGGTAGTGGTCCAGATGTATCATGTGAACTTGAAGTCCACATCAAATTATTTCACAAAGAAAAGCCCCAAATGTAGAAGTATGTTATGAATTCAAAATAGAGAATACTACTGAATCTTCAGTATTGTTATGGCAGCCTTACTGACAACATGAAAGATTCTATACAATCCTATGTACAAATTGAGTCAAATACTAATTAACCTATGAAACGTAGTATTTGTTCATGCATATCAGTGTTCAAGCATGTGGTTTAAAACTGCCAACTTCACGGTGCTTTAGAAGAACTTGGGTATAACTCAGTTTTATCCCATACCAATTACTGCTCAAACATGTCTTCCTAAAAATAGTGTATTCGACTAGGCTCAACTGCTCATTAAAATGTGTTTCTTTAGTACTTCTATGTCTGTAATCTTTAGCTATTATAATGGAGAAGATACAAAAAAAGAAACCCACCCCCATGATACTGTGAAAACATAAATTTTCAGTAATAGGCAATTAACCTGAAATAATCCTAAGTATTTAAAATTAAAGCCCCAATCATACATTTTATACTGAGAGCAGCTAGGTTATGCTAACATATTCTTACTTCCAGGAGGAGCAACCTGCAGCTATTCCCTTCTCATCAATCTTGATAAGGTTACTCCTCTCTTGGCTGCAACAAAATCATAAAACTTTTAGCCAACTTGTAATTGCATGGTTTTGTATTAAGATGGTTCAGGAGGAAATTACTGAAGAATATAAGCAGTTATGCCAGGAGTTCCAAGGAGCAGCTACGGGAAAGAAACAATGATGGAAGTGAAGGTGGAAACATAGCTGCAGGTATGACAAGTTGACTGCAATATTCACAGTGACTTCAGGTCTTAACCCCCCTCTGCCTCAATTTCCTAGAAACTTCTTCCATGTACAAGATTTCCCTTCACATTATAATTTACTCCTCCATCTTCTACAATACAGATATCCCTACATCAAATAAAATAAAAAAACTTTTTGACTCACAGGGTGAGAACTGCAGACCCTGTGCACAGAGTTGGTTTTGATATGGGAAGTTTGATGTATATGTCAACACTTTGGCAGTGTTGTATTTTCCTTTCATTTACAGACCACAATTCTAGGTGAGCAATGATAAAACAAACATCAGAGTGGATCATCACTAATTTCCAATATAAAGTGCCACAAAGATTAAAGAGTATAGTTGTACTTCTGTCCAGACTATCCATGGATATTAAAATTTTAAAATAGAATCACAGAATGGTTTGGGTCGGAAGGCACCTTAAAGACCATCTAGTCCCACCCCCCCTGCCATGGGCAGGGACACTTTCCCCTAGACCAGGTTGCTCAAAGCCTCATCCAGCCTGGCCTTGAACACTTCCAGGGAGGGGGCATCCACAGCTTCTCTGGGCAACCTGTTCCAGTGCCTCACCACCCTCTCCGGGAAGAACTTCTTCCTGATACCTAATCTAAACCTCCCCACTTTCACTTTAAACCCGTTACCCCTTGTCCTGTCACTACAGACCCTTGTAAAAAGTCCCCCCCAGCTTCCTTGTAGCCCCTTCAGGTACTGGAAGGCTGCAATAAGGTCTCCCCGGAGCCTTCTCTTCTCCAGGCTGAACAAGCCCAACTCTCTCAGCCTGTCCCCATAGCAGAGGTGCTCCAGCCCTCTGGTCACCTTCGTGGCCTCCTCTGGACTCGCTCCAACCCGTTGATCTTTCTTATGTTGGGGGCCCCAGAGCTGAATACTGTAACATTTTTTTAAACTCTCTTCTAGGATAGATTATTCTTTCAAGGGAGGCTCAAGGAACTTTCTCCACCCTTCACCAGAAGACAGTGAGTTTAAGGATATGGAAAATTTCTGAAATTGTTAAGAATAAATAAAACACTGCAGCACAGACATGAGTATCTACCTACTGCATTGACCTAACAGGATCATTTCACCCCTAGATACATTCTCCTTCTTCAGCTCCAGCTTGTGCAAAAAACATGACAATTTTCAAAATATAGTAGCTAAACTTTTAAGGCTTCAGGATGCCACAATACAGCAATCATTTTAACAACAGGTATTTGGGTGGGTGAAAGAGATGAGAAGGTAGAAGACTACAAATTAACAAAACACTGAAAAAATCCCTATTTCAAACTGAACAAGAAAAACTGTTATGATGCAACTACAATGACATAACTAGAAAAATATTTGGGAATTGGATGTTTTTAAAGAACAAATATTTTTAGATTTTTAAGGAATGCAAAGTTTATACATCAGTACGAGAAGGGCTGTTTTTTCAGAGGGCAGAATACATAGCAACTGAGCAATGTCTCTTTGCTCATGCATCACATGCTTACAGTTGCCTGCTTAAAAGATGCAATTTATACAGACAGGGGAAAAAAAAAACCCACCACTGTACCACACTCCCACATACCAGACAATAACATTTTAACAGTAATGAAATGAAACCTCAGTAGTCTTGCTGGGAGGAGGCTATGCCTCCACACTTTGTCACTTTTAACCAAGGAACCTGAGAGGAGATTTTCACATTAGAACAACAATTTCTAACATTTCAATATTTTAATTAAAATTGTATAATAAATGAAAGTTAAGTTTTTGCTAGAATTAAGGAAAAAATAGAAGTAATTTAGGTAAACAGTTCTTTTCAAAGGGGAATTCTTAAACACATTCAAATTTAGGCACTGAACAAGAAAAGAAGTATTATGTCTAATCACTTACCATTTGTTTAATGTTTGAAAACATTAAGCCCTGTGCAATAGCTAGTCAGATCTCCCATGTTTTTACTACTATCTACCAACAGCCCAAACTTTAAAATTCTGTTTAGGTCACATGCTAATGAGCTGCAAGGGTATTTCTATCAACTAACAACTATGATGGTGCATTTCCTCCCCTCTCAGCTCCTGGACTGCTCTATGGCCTTAGAAATTCACAACAAACCTCAGCCCCTGTACAGGGAGTTTGGTGGTTAAGCATCCCTTGATCATATCAAAACTCTCTTGCATTGCTAAGGCTGGGAACAGTACTGGCGTAGTAGGGTTCAGTTTCCTGGTTACAGTGGGGGATGAGAGCGAAACAATTCTGTTACGCCACGCTTCTCACAAATGCGTATTAAAATAATAGCTTTTCCCCTAATATTTGTGACGAGGATCTTTAAAGCAGCCTAACCCACTCATCACCCCCTCCATTTCATCACACCAACTGATCCAGTCACATTTCAAACGTAATTGGAATTTCTTTCTGAAAACTCTTACGTATTAAAACAGGAGGCTGACGTATTTCGCCTCAGTGCACTGTGTACATTCTTTATTTTAAATTACATGGTGGTCGGCAGCACATTAAAAAAAGCCCTGGTATCAGAGGCACAAGAGAAGCAGTGCCATTATTCAACTCAAGCACAACACTATGCCATTAAAAAAACTTAACTAAAAACTGCTAAAAATTAAGAACTGAGGCTCTGAACAAAAAGTTTTTTATCAATTTAAAGGCTATAGTTCCTTACTAACAGGGTCTCGGAATCAGCATAAAACATCTGTATAAATATGAGACTTTTTTGAGAAAGGAAAAAAGTATTGGAAAAAGCTAAATAGAAATAAATTTTGTAAAGTATCATGGCTTTTCCACTCAGGAATACAAAGGAACAAGCAGTATATCCACCTGAATAAAAGGAAAAAAAAAAAAATTAAACTTTTTGAAAGAAAATGATCGTTAAGAAAGGATACCATAATGCAAATAAAGACAGACCCATTTATTTGTATTCAGTTTTTTGATAAGGCTATTACTGAACAAATCTCAGTGGAAGGCCCAAGTCTGGACAACTAAAATACCAGTGTGACAGCAAAGAGAAAACTGGGCCCATCAGTTTACAAAACGGCTGTGGGGCATATCAAGACGTATTTCAAAATCTTTTACCCAGATATTAAAAAGGAAGTAAATTACTCAAGACAGTTCAAGAACAATCTTCTGTAAAACTAGAAGGCATCTTATAACATGTTCATTTCAGCAATCAATTTAATTAATATATTACTTTGGCCATTTTTGCCTAAGTCTGCCATCCTTTCACCTCTTTGCTACGGAAGATACACATCATTTCCATCATTTATTCTGTGGTGGTCTCCACCCATTTCAGTGCGTTCAACTGACCAACTGGGCTTTTTTCCTATTGTTCTACACAAAGGCTGCTGTCCTCCTGCATGATCTCCAAGTACAAAGCAAGAAAAGTCTCAGGTCACTTGCTATCATCTTGATTGCTATCTTAAGTAGAAACAAACTTGTAAATCATCAAAAATGTTACTTTTACTCTTTCAAGTCAACTAAAGATATCTACAGGCATTTATTTTGGGATACTTGTCATTTACCATTCTGAATTTCCATAACTCTCATTCCATGCCGAGTATCAACTCTAGCAGCATTTAAAAATGTTTATATTGTGTTGGGTGAGTATTTATTTTTCCAAATCTTCTTCAGTTCACAAGCATTCTTTATTCTTTTTGTGCTCATTACTTGACACCTTACCATTATGACACAGCCCATCCAATTCCCCAAGTAAATTGAATTACACACTTCCATAAAAATAATCTACCTTTTCTAAAAAATCCATTCGTAGGAGGTCATTAGCCACATATTTTCCTCACTGAGGAAAGATAACCCAAGCAGACATTCAGTATTGACCAACATCAGCACAGATCTCATGGGGTAATACAAGAATACAGACAATCCTTTAAGTGCTGGAATGTTATTCTTGGGACAGTTCAAAACAAACATACTGTATGCCTGCCATTAAGAGGGCAAAAAGCTGTGATAAGGTCAGACACTACAGTGCCACTGTCTCAGCAACAAGCATGAGATGCATCCAGGTGCCCGAATCAGATTTACAGCTTTCTCCACTCAAATGCAGTAAGTTGCAACACTGCTAGTAAATAGCAGCATTACATAGCAAATGACATTTTTAAAGAACTGTCAGAATGTAAATTTATGACATAGTATTCTCAAAATATTGGGGGGGGAGGGGAGGACACATGGACACACACGGAGGGACAAAGCTTTATGCTGGAACAACTCTATGAACTAAAGCTGCTAATTTTTTAAATGTTCTGCTAAGTGTAAGGGGAATTTAGGAAAAGAAGAACAATTTACTCTCAAATCGTTTGTTTTCTAAAGATTCCCTTTTGTCTGTATTCTGCGATACAAAGTAAAAACATATCTGCAAAGCAAAATACACAAATTATTTCAAAAAGCTCAAAGCTTAAAATGCCATTAAGAGCAAAATTAAAAAACAACAGGATGTTACCAAAAGTAACTATGTGGGCAGACTGAAACATACAGCTGTTTGGAGGGAGTGAAAAGTTTCTGAAACAGTATCAGAGAATGGGTAAGCAAAAAGGCAGGATTTCCAGTTCAAACAAAATTTTCAACTCCTTTTCTATCTATACGTCCAGATAAGACTCTGCATAGTTCACAGGTACAAAACCAAACTACTGATGCAAGCAGGTAATACAATTTCAATACTGGCTACGGAGAAAACTGTTTATTGCATTTGAAATAAATGAAAAATCACTCATAAATGCTATCTTAAAATCAGACACAATTATGTAAAACATATGTTCCATAATCAGTTTTTCAAACTTCTTTTACACATCACTATACATTCTGTGTTCTTAAATCAACATCAGCTGGAGACACATGGAAAACAGCAGTAAATTACTAAAGGAAAAAAGCTATTATTCTTACAAATGCAAGTTACTTTTATTTCTGAAGCAAAACACGAATACTAACTGCATTGTATGTACTGCCGCTGCACTTAAAACATATTACTGTGCACCAGAAATGGACGTAAAATTGATAAGGAAAAAAGCAAGCTTAATTTTATAAAATTAAAATGCCCTCAGTTTGAGAGCCTTTGAAAAGTGGTTTAAACTTCTTGCATAGTTCTGTTTTGACAAATGCTCTTAATGCTTACCTCACACTTCAGTGAGCTCCTGGATTCGGTTTTCATGACTAAAACATCACATTCCTTAATGTTTTTGTAAGATAATAGGACTGCCGACTGCTGCAGCCTAACTGGTTACGTGTCTGCTTTCTTACCTCTCTTCCAATGCACTATATTTGGCAGAATATTACAAGATACAAATTCAAATTATTGTTGTACTTAACCACAGGATTCAGTTTTCCCTTGCTAGAGAACCGTAGCATCCTTTTTAAACTTGCAGGTCCTACTCTCCAAATATCTAAGAACAACAAATAAGCCTAACTTGCATTCTTCACGCATGGAAGGATTCATTAGTCTTCTTGGAAATAAACACATTAATACCAAGAAAACATGCTAGCAACAATAAAATGTCACAAGGACAAAGTCTGTATTCAAACTACACACACAGGATTTAAGTTTTAGCCACAGACCAAACATATTAAGTAAATAAACGAACGGGGAACAAAACCAGCTTTAACTCTAACCAGTGAGACAAGAGTGAGAAAACCCTACAGTCTTTTAAACTCAGTTTATGTTTATGTAGGCCTACAGCTACTGAAGTACCTTAATCGTAACTGTCAAGCGCTGAGTAGCATCACCACTAAAAGAAAAAGTTGAAGCTGCTTGGATACCCTACCCTTCCATTTCCTTACTTTGTATGTGGACATATTTCTTGCCTCTGTTCCTTAGACTTACACAGCAGCTCCAAAGACAATTCCAACACTTTTGAATGTACTGTGCCCTATGTTGTGTGTCCCATGTTCACAATTAAATTTACATTATAATGCATTCTTATACAGCAATACTGTTTAAAATAATCACTTCTTTGAAACCATTTTCTTAATCACTGAATTTAAGATATTATATATTCTTATTATTAAATTACAATAATTAGTTATTTATAAATAGACACTTATACTTTCAATAGCCTAGGTAAAAGCATCCTTACTCTTTCTCTGCATCTCCTTCACTTTCTTCTGCATGATCAAAGCTCCAATTATTTTTAAAACCTCCATCTCTCTTGGACTGTGATCTATCCAAAGCTGAAATGAGAACAAGTTAAGATAAGTCTTGATTTCAAGCTGAGTTATTAATCAACACAAACTAGAGGAGTAAACCAGACGTATATATTTTCCCCAAGTATTTATTTTGTTGATGTCAAAGTTTAACTACCATTTGACAAATTGAGTTTATCAATGCAGTAGTGACTCTTTTTCCAAAATAAATACAAATTAGTATCTGTCAACACCTTGACTATTAATGCAACAAGCTAGCAAGCTACTAAAAATGATGACATGAGGTAGCTTTACAAGGATTTAAATTCTTTTACTGACACCTGCAAATTTAAGGGTTCCTTTTCTGATATGAACTACATGCCACACACAGAAAGAGTCCTCACATTTGTTATTTAAATACCTAATACCCAAGCACATATTTATTCCTTCCATATAAAAGCAACAATCCTGAACTGCCCCAAGTACAATTTTCAACATAATACTATTTTTTTTTTTAATTCTGGATCTGACTACACCAAATTTCAGATTTATCTACTGTAATATCCAACAGCATCAACATTTTCATACAATATGATCGCAGGGGGGGTATTATTAAATGAAAGAGGTGGAGCACATGGAGACAGCACTCATTAAAGCAAGGTACTGTTCACCCCAGGCCCTAATTATTGCAACTAGGACCTGTCTCACACAAATTCTGTGTGACAAACTATGCAGTAGCTTTGATTTTGATATAATTTAAATGTGTCTTTTCTTAATAGTTTTTTTCTTTATATAGTTAGAAATGCATTTAGAAATAATGAATGCAACTCTATGTCTTGATAGAAAAAGAAAAAATATCACAACCAACAACAGATGTTTAGGGTAAAGTATAAAAACTGCACACAGAAATATTTATTGCATATTCAACCTCTGCTTCCCGCTACTTGCATCTACCAAGGTCTTCCTGAGCTACGGGTGATATTTTTGTGTTCAACAGCTTTTGCTAGCCTTTTTCTTCTCCCTGCTTGCGTTTTACATCAACCCTACTTTACAGAATCAACAGCATGTTACAGCAGACAGTACCTCAGCTTAATTACATGTTATATGAGTAAGTATCTCCTTTTGTTTGTCCTGATTCAATCTGGCATCTTTTACTCCTACTTACTACTCCACTTCTCCAGCTCTTTGCACTTTGGAAGATAATGTTATCCTTCCCTATTCACTCATGATTGCACAGATCTCTGTTGCTTTCTTTCACTCATCCTTTTCCAGGCAGAAAAATATTTTTTAAAGTATTCTTTTTAATTTTTCCTCACATAAAAGATGTTTCATGCCTTTAATTCATTCTTTATGCTTCTCCCTGAACCGTACCCTTTTTGAAATAAGAAGAGGCTACCAACATTATGAGGAAGATGCATACAAGCCATGAATTTCTATAGAGGCAGCATGACGTTTCTGTTTTGTTCTTTACTCCTTTTCTAGTAAGTCTTAACACTGGATTTGCTGTTTTCACTACTGTAGAGAACTGCATTGATCTTTATGTACTAGATAATTCCATCTTTCACTCATGATTGGTAAGAGCCAGTTTAGAGTTAACCAGTGCCTATAAAAATTCTCTTTCCTACCTCCCACTCACTTAAATTACTCGTCATTTCCCTAAAAATTAACCCACATAACCCAAAACATGAGCATCTGCAATTTTCTTTAAATAGCTAGCCATTAAACTAACCCAAGTAAAGTTTGCGACATAAACTTTGTCACTCCTCTGTCGAACCCTTTTCCTTATATCTGGGCATCAATGTTACCACAGAAGCTTGTACAATTCCATGGGTTAATCCTTCTATTAACAAAGCAAACCATTTTTATCCTCTCTTTCCACCTGTGGCTAGTTGTTCCTTATAAAACTTTCCAGTTTATCCAGAGGCAATTTAGCCTCTTCAACAACCTTTGGTGAAGGACTCTGCAGAGGGAATGATATGGTCAGAAAGCTCACTGATGTGAAGTTCCTCAAATACCTCCACTGCCTTTTAAAAAGCTGCTATCATACTAGCTACCTTCTTTACCTGTAGCAGAAAAATGAAGATGATGCTGAACAACAAAGAACCCCCTAAAGTCATTAGCTCTTTCATCCTCAAGTTCCTCTTCCAACACTTGGATGAATGCCATTTCATCCTGCTGCCTTGTTCATTGTTTGCTTAATGTACTGCAGTTTCTACCACTGAGGTTTTGAGTCAGATACTCTATCACATTCCTTCTTAAGAAATATTCCGGCATGAAGACCTCTGTAAATGTCAAAGTGAGTGCAAGCAACACCATTTTTAGCTATGGCCTTGTAATTCTCCAAAGCCGCCTTTTACAACTCGGTTGTCTACTGACTCTACAGATCCAAAAATTTTTCTGCTGAGTTAGAAGAAAGACTTAGCAATATTTTTTATGCTTGCTATTCATCAAAGCAGTTATTCATCACAAAATTTGTCTTCCTCAGCATTACAGGTTTAATCCACTGTTTTTTTTCTTTTTTTTTTTTTTACTATATTTCCTCATTCAGACAAAAGTTCAGAGTCAGGAAGGATGATGTTTTATTTCAGACATCTCCCCTTATCCTGCTGTTTAGCTATGCCAACGTTTGGGGGTGGCACTTCCGAAGTCTATTTAAATAAGCAGCATGCTTGGGCTGTAAGCCACCAATATGGTGTCTTTAAAAAACTCCTAAGCTGTTTGCAAATATTTTACACTCTGGCTGCATCTTTTCGTTCCTTTTCAAAAAGTTTCTTAAGATGTTCTGCAGTCCTTTTTTTGAATTAAGCATTTATGTATTGAATGGTTTGTTGACCACTGCAGACCAGTTGCCCATAGACGTGTCTTAGTATCCCAGCTCTGCTCACTCAGCTCTGGATCAATTTTCCCTCTCGCATTCTTGGTCCTACCAAAAATGTAAATCTGTAAGTACGCCATCATGTTAGCCAGACCATTCACTTAACTGAGTTACTTGATCTGAATGGTCACTTGGGATCTGATTCTAATTGGGACTGGGTTTTTGGTGGTTTTTGTTGTTTTTTTTTTTTTTTTTAAAAACAGGGCTAACAAGTCATCTGTCACACAGGCTAAGTTTCTAACTACATCATAGCAAGACTGAAATTTGCAACATCTATGTTCCAATTTTTACTATGTATTCTATCAAAGCCATTTTGATCAGCAAGACCCAGAAAGTGAAAATATTCAAATAAGCAGATCTGGCCCCAACGTACTGAGCTAATAGAAGTCAATTGCTATGCCTCTGCCCAAGAAAGGCTGCATGCTGGAACAGGTTTCACTAGCAACAAATCGTTTTTCCTCCCACTACAAGCTCCTTTTGTGCCATTATAACACTGGAGATAAACAATTCTGAGCCCAAGAAACTAGATGGAATTTAAATAGACATCTTAAACAGGTTTATCTAACATATTTCACTGCTTTTTTAAACAACCGTGATCAATTACTCGTCACTTTAAAAGTCAATTAAAATTTCCTGAAAAAATAATTTTTATTTTAGTCTTCATTAAAACTTTTATGGCATTACTAACCACATCTGAAGCCAGCCTTTTAAAAATCCCCATACAGTCTTTCTGTGTAAAACCCAATTAACAAATTTTGGATTACAAAAAATAGTAAGCTTGTAGGAAGCTAGGTGGAAAGCAGATTAACAGTGGACAATTTTGTAAATTCCATTGGCAGGAGTTCCTATCACTTAACACTGTCATTAAGCAATTCCTAAACAGGGGGAAAAAAGTTCAGTCACTTCTCCATGAAAAAAGAGCAAAGTTGTGCATTTGCAAAAAGAAATCCTTCAAAATTCTGCCTGTGTAAAATACTGAAGTGAGGAGTGACATATACACTATTTAGTAAAGTGCTGATGTCCACTAGAAGATAACATATTTTTGCTTGTCTTATACTTTGTGCTCTAAGGCCAATCATTCCATATGAATCTGTATCTCAGCAGACCAGAAAAAACAGACCCATTTCTTTTTACTCTTTTGGATATGATACTGTACTGGGTTCGCATGGCAAGGTTTTGGTAGCCAGGTGGCTACAGGGGTTGCTTCCACAGAAGATGCCAGATGCCCCAATGTCTCACAGAACTCACCTCAGCGGCTCAAAAGACAGACCCACCACTGGCCAATGCCTCTGGGATAGTATGTTTAAGAAACGGGGAAAAAAACTAGAGAAACTGCAACAGAGAGACGATGGCAGTAGCACCTCTGGGATAGTATGTTTAAGAAACGGGGAAAAAAACTAGAGAAACTGCAACAGAGAGAGAGCACGATGTGATAGCAACAACTCTGCAGACGTTGAGGTCAATGGAGAAGGAGGGGGAGGAGGTGTTCCAGGCGCTGGAGCAGAGATTCCCCATCAGCCCATGGTGCAGACTATGGTGAGGCCAGCTGTGCCCTGCAGCCATGGAGGGTCACGTGCAAGCAGAGACCCACCTGCAGCCTGGGGATGACCCCCACACCAGAGCAGGGATGTGCCCTGGAGGCAGCTGCAGTTCATGGAGAGTGTGCACTGGAGCAGGCTCCTGGTGGGACCTGCAGCCCCACAGACAGAGAGGCCGACACTAGAGGAGGTTTGCTCACATCCAAGCAGAGACCCACCTGCAGCCTGGGTATGACCCCCACACCAGAGCAGGGATGTGCCCTGGAGGCAGCTGCAGTTCATGGAGAGTGTGCACTGGAGCAGGCTCCTGGTGGGACCTGCAGCCCC